AGGGCCCAGGCACATATCCAAGTGGTCAGGAGCAAGGACAGCCAGCTAGTCCGGGGTAACTAAGGCTTAGTGTATATCAGTTCTGAATTCCATCCTTACTTGGGGCCTCAGTTTCCTCATTGTCAAATGGGAACTATGGCACATGGAGCACCCCCAACCCGCCACCCAACCATGTTTTTTTTAGAACTTAATGATTTTATACATCCTGTTACCTCTGCCTGAACTGCCCTTTTCTTTTCCACCTGTCTTGCCCACCTGGAGGACTCCTACTCATCCTTCAAAGCCCTTCTAATGGTCCTTCCTACTTCCCCTAGAGGTCTCCAGACTTCTCCCCAAGGAAAGCACTCCCTCCTCTGGGTTCTTCTGAGCCTTCCGTGTGGGATTTCCCCTGTGGCGTGAGCCCTGAACCATAATTTTTGCTCCTCTTATCTGACTCTTTCACTAGACCGACTTACCTTGAGGGCAAGAATCATGGTTTGCTCATCTCCTCACTGCCCAAAAGACTGGAAAGAAATCACTCAAAGCCACAACGATTCTACCATCCAACGGTTTCAACCCAGCACTTCTGATGTCTCTCTCCCTCCCAACCGAAGATCCTATGATTCCAAACCCCATATGTGAGAATGTGAACCTAATACTCTACGTTGCCAACATGAACAGTCTGTGATTTCAATCCAAAAATATTATGGCCCTTAAACTTCAATAGGGAGAAACTGTAATTTCTATCTTCTCACGTAGTCATTCTGAGTCGACCCTGCAGACCACACAATTGCATGAGACCATGAGGGGAGGAAAGGCTGGTGGGCCCACTGCGGTATCCCGCCTCCCCAGCCCCGTGGCCCACCGCCACAGGCCAGCACTTGGTTCTGCCAGTGGAAACTGGAGACCTGTGATGGCAGGATGCTCCCACAGCATTTACTCTCCCCCATCTGGAGGTGAGTCAGTGGGCTCCTCCGGGTTTCCCCTCACTGGGCCTGCCACCACCTCTGCCCCTCTGTGCACACACTGCATCCCCTCCCTGACTTCCCCTGCTTCCTCCTTTTCTCACACCAGCTGCCAACAAGCCCCAGAGCCTGTGGTCAGGTTGAGTCTTGTCTCCTCACAGCCAGAGTAAAGGAGCCAGTGATAAACACATCTGTGATCCTTTCCAAGACGCTCAGCCAGGAGCGGCTGCAGGCTGGCCTCTTTTCTCCTTTCGGTTCCCCACCTCTGCTGTGCATGTGTGTGGGGCCCACAGAAGCCTACGGTGGAGGAGGTTATGGGGTAGGTGTCCATGGCTTCAGATAAATGGCACGCAGCAGGATCCCAGGGCACCTCCTGTGTATGCCCTCACCTGGCCCTGACCAGTACCTGGGTTCCAGAGCAAATTGAGTGTCATAGTGCCCATTTGACAGATAGGGAAACTGAGGGCCCAAGTAGGGATGAGACTCAGAACTGATATACACTAAGCCTTATATACCCCGGGCTAGTTGGCGGTCCCTGTCCCTGGCCACTTAGATATATGTCTGGGCCTTCAGGGTGCCCTGTAGCAGAGAGGGCCAGACTGGGAGACCACCTTCCTGCTGTGATCTGGCTGAGCAGTAAGGCCACTGTCCTAGATGTCTGAGGGCCAGCGGGGACCGCACACCACAAAAAGGCCTGTGGTTGGTCAGGCCTTTTCCTCTGTACGGTAGGGAGTCCCAAATTCCAGTTCTTGGCTCTAGTTGAACTGCTGCCAAAGTTGCCACTCACAAGCATCCAGGATCCCCTCACAAACTAGAGGGGAGTTGGACAGGTGGAGATGATCCCCCCAGAGGGTTTCCCTGAGCTGGGAGGGCCCAGCCTGTGCTTAGTCTTCATCTCTGTCCCCAGGGCCTCACTCTGCCTTCCTGGAGTCAGTGTCTATGACTTCTGCCCTTCCCTGTTCCTGAACCATCAGTGGTTCCTCAGTGACCATAAGGTACTCAACCATTCACTTTCTACACATACAGAGCAACACTGTACGCCAGTCTTTGAGGTACAGCTCTGAATGAGACACATGCGGTCCCTGTGCCCTTCAAGCTTACAATCTGACGTGGAGCAAGGCAGGGGGGCAGCAAGCCCAGGAACAAGATGACATCTGAGAAAAGGCTAGGAATGAATTGAAAAGGAAGCTTGTCTGAGGAGGCCACATCTGAGCTGAAACCAGAAGAGCAGCCACAGAAAGATCTTGGAGGAGGGGGTGGGGGGAAATGAGGATCTCACTCACTGGACTGGTAGGCAACCTCGCAGGCTCTATGGCTACTGTTACCCTATCAGGGACTCACAGACCAGCCAGTCTGGGCCCCTGAACGTGTCCCCAAGCCCCCATCTCTGGGCCTTTGCCCCTACCTCCCCACACCACACCTGGGTTGCCTTCACTTCTCTTCCCTGCCTAACTAAACCTCACTCGTCTTTGAGGGTACACCTCTTCCAGGAAGCTCCTTAGGTTGGTCTTATGACATCTGACAGCATCCAGCATCTGCACCACCCTAGATATCCCTTGAACAGCAACCACAGCCCTCATGGCCCTGGAGCTGTGTGGCTTATGAAACCCTCTCCTACCTCATATACACTGAACCTCTCTTACCAGAAGCTAGGAATTCTCTTCTTTAATTCTCACAGTGGTCCTACCAGGTAGCCACAGATGAGGAAACTGAGGCTGGAAGAGGGTCCACTTGTCTGGTTTATTCCTGCCCCCAGGGACTGAGCACTTCAAGAGCAGGAGAGAGTCTGTGACCTGTGCCCTAGGCCCTAAGGAGTGATCGGACTACAAAGACCAGGAAGAATGAATAGCTGAACAATCTGGAGGGACAGCTGGTCCTGGGCAGGAGCTCCCAGCCACAGGACTCAACAGGGAGTGTCAGGGAGGGCCTAGCAATTTGCCCCAGGTCTTCATCCTGGGGCAAGCCAGGTGAGTGGCTCTGCTGGTATGACTCCTCCATGGACTCCCTGGAGGCTCTCACACACAGGATGTGGCCAGAGGCTGGAGAGGAGGAGGGAGGGCGGGCCACCTGAGGGCTGGAAGAAGCGCCAGCTTGTTCCTTCCCATATGTCTGCCATCAGGGGACCTTGCTCCCCTCCAAGGTGTGCAGGCTACTCCCCAACACCACTTACCAGACAGGCTCCTTCCTGCACGACAGGTTTCCAATGCTTGGAATTACAGCCACCCTGTGCTGAGGACTAATTGTGTGCCAGCCCTGAGGTAAGCTCTCTCCTGCCTTGTCTCCTCTGTCCTCACCTCAGCCCTGAGGACACTCCTGCCAGCTCTACTTCCTTCCTGGGAAGGAATGACTGACAAAGCTGAGATCTGAACCCAGGCAGCCAGTGTCAGTCCACAGGCAGCCTTCTGACCACCATGCCACAGCAGCATGTGGTGAACAAAGAATGCCAGCGTGAGAGCCAGACATGCTTGGCTCTTATTCTAGCATTGCTTATTAGCTGTGGGACCCTCGGCACATTATTTAACTACTCTGTGCCTCAGTTGCTTTGCCTGTAAAATGGGGATAATGATGCTATTGTTCTTAGAGATGCCTTGAGAATTAAGTGAATTGATATATCCAGAGCTAGAAGGCTACATGGCCCACAGACATGCTCTAGCAGAACAAGATCTGTGCCACTCAATACATCTGTCACCCAAGTGGCACAGCTCACAGCCCATACGTAGCCAGTAGATTTATATATTTGAGCCTCTGGAAATCGTTGTGTTTTTTTAACCTTTTCTACCAGTAACTATCAGTTTGAAATGCCAACACTTTTTAAAAAATGAAGTGATTGTACATAAAAACCTGAGTCTAAAAGGAGAATGTCTGCCTATAGTGGGCTGGTGTTCCTGCACAGCCACAATGGCTGGAGCCAAGTAGGTGGTCTGCATGCCTTGGTTCACCATGGCCTTGTGCATGCTTTCTTAGATCTTTGTCACTCTTTCTCCTGCTCAGCTCCCCTGGGCACCTGCATCTGTGGCCCCCAGTGATGTCAGCACAAGTAGCACAAGTCCTGTTGCTGCAGTGATATGTCTCGCATCCAGGCAGCAATAAGCCCTCTCTCTCCATCTGCCCTGTCTCACAGACACTTTGCTACAGAGCTCCAACCCAACATCTGAGCTTTTCCTCTCCAAAACGTACCTCCTGGGTCTGGGGGCTCCAGAATCGATTCTGAGTGCCTCAGCCTTCAAATGCACCTAAGAGCCCATACCCAACCTCAGGCCATAGCCCAAGGCACTGCCTGAGCCAGGCAACATGGACTTAGGTACCCCAAGATGACTGGTCAAGCTGCCTCTGCCCAAATACATCCTGGGATAAAGAGCTCACTTCTTTCTTGGTAACTCACTCTGTTTCTCATGGCTGTAGCTTGTCCTCACACTGGCTGGAGCTGCCTCTCTGGGATACCCCTTGCCGTGTGGACCCACACTCACTGGGCACCTGCAGACCCATCTGCTGCCTTGCCTTAGGACAGCCAGATTCTCATTGGTATGTGTCCAGCCCTCTCTCTATCTCAGCCATCTCCACTAGATATATCCTAGAACATCGCCAGCTCTCTTCCAACCTGAACTCAGAATCCAGGAGGATCTTTGGAGGCAATAAGAAGAGAATGGTCACCTCCTTTATTCTGAGCTACAGGTTTTGGCTGAGGTGATCAATGACATGTTAGCGGTCCTGCTCCATAGGGATGACTCCTACTGAACTGATCTCAACCCCTCCCCACAATCAGGGTTTTGTACAGCTGATCCGTGGACCCAAGGATAAGAGTTCACATACATCCCCATTTCCATCTTGCTGAATCACATCCAATTTGTTTTAACAGAGATTCGGTTATTCAACCTCTCTACTAACTGACAAGCTTCCTGACATACACTGGTCCTGACTGGCAGCAAATCGAAGACAGAACCAAGCTAAGGGTAGAGCTCTGAGGCTCATTACCGGAGACCCAACACCAATCCTTAAGAATAAGCTGTTTTGAAGCATCTCTGCCAGAGCTGCCAGCGCCCCTCCCTGGCTGCCTACCTTGCGGCCTGCCTCGTTATTGTGTAAGTTCATGAGAGTCCTGGCATTCTGCTTGATCTCCCGGGCATCCACAAAGACCTTGGCGAAGCCGATGCCGTAACGGATGTCGGCAGAGCAGCCACCCCACTTCCAGCCCTCGTCCCGGTGGTACTGGCCTTGCTTCTCCTTGTCGCAGCCACAGTCACTCAGGTTGCCCTGGGTGCAGGCAGCTGTGATGGCATGGGCCACACCGGCAGCTATGATGGCGTACGTGAAGGCAGCCTCCCGGCTCCCTGCAGGAGAAGAGTGGAAAGACTGGGGTCAGGTCCAGGTCATCCTGGGAGAAGACAGGGCCTCCATAAGAGGGTGGCTGAGCTCACTGCAACAACTCCACAAAGGGAGCACCCCTTCCTCACCTTCAAGAAACCTCCATCTCAGATTATGCTTGAGCACCCATGTCATGCACACACTCACTGCATGTCCTTAGGGAGCTGACAGGGCAGGAGAGGAAGAAGACAGCGGGTTCGCTGCCAGGCTCTGGCAGGCCGGAGGAGGGCCCCTCTGTGGATTGTCACCCATCTCCATCACACTCAGATTAGTGGTATAAAATGCACGTCACAACGCTCACAGAACCTGGCCACAGGCCGCAAAGCAATATTTCTTCCCCACCTGCAGCCTGCACAGTCTTTAAGCCAGAAGCCGAGGCTTAAATCTCAGGGGCCTCAGTCTCTCGTCTGTGACTTTCAGCCAGTGATAAGCCCTCACTGTGTCTCAGTGCTCAGATGCATAATGGGAACTCTGCAACAGTACTTTTTTCATGGAGAGGACAGAGAACAATAACAGTTTGTTCTATAAGAATGGTTTTAAGAGTGTTGTCATCAGAAGAGTTGTAGATATATTTCAAAGAAGAACTGGTGATTTTTATAAAGTCTGAGTACTGAACGAAGGAGCAACTGTACAAATTATACTCTGGAGGAAAGGGAAGGTCTCAGTGAAACTTGTATGACTTTTCCATTTCTGTGCCATCAAATATAGGCTAAAATATCTATATTAATTCTCTGTTTAAATGGAAACAGTTGAAACCAGGTAAAGATACAACAAAGAAAGAGAACTACAGGCCAATATCTCTGATGAACATAGATGCTAAAATCCTCAACAAAATATTAGCAAACCAGATGCAGCAATACATTAAAAAGACCATACACCATGATCAAGTTGGATTTATTCCAGGGATGCAAGGATGGTACAATATTCACAAATCAATAAATGTGATATATCACAAAAAATGAAAGACAAAAATCACAGTATCTTATCAATAGATGCAGAAAAAGCATTTGATAAAATCCAGCATTCATTTATGATTAAAAAATAAAAAACAGCAAAATGGGAGTAGAGGGGGCATACCTCAACATAATACAGGCCATATACAAAAAACCTCCTGCCAACATCATACTCAATGGGCAAAAACTAAAACCGTTTCCCCTGAGATCAGGGACAAGACAGTGGTGTCCATTTTCACTACTCTTATTCAATACAGTGCTGGAAGTCCTAGCCACAGTGCTTGGACAAGAAGAAATAAAAGGCATTCAAAGTGGGAAGGAAGAAGTAAAATCGTCATTATATTCAGATGACAAGACATTGTACATAGAAAACCCTATAGGCTCCACTAAAAACTACTCAACCTAATAAATTCAGCAAAGTAGTGGGGTACAAAGTCAATATTCAGAAATTGATGGCATTTTTGTACATCAATATGAACTATCAGTAAGAGAAACTAAGAAAACAGCCCCATTTACTATTTCAACAATAACAACAAAATAATAAAGTACCTAGGAATAAATTTAACCAGGGAGATAGAAGACCTATACTCAGACAACTATAAGGCAGTGAAGAAAAAAATTGAGGAAGGTACAAATAAGTGGAAGCATATCCCATGTTCATAGATTGGAAGAATTAACATCATTAAAATGTCCATACTACTCAAAGCAATCTATAGAGTCAATGAAATCTATGAAAATACCAATGGCATATTTCACAGATCTAGAACAAATATTTCAAAAGTTTATATGAAACCAAAAAGACACCAAATAGCTTCAGCAACCTTGAGAAGGATAATAATACCTGATATCAAACTATACTACAAGGCCACTGTAATCAAAATGATCTGGTACTGGCATAAGAACAGACACATAGATCAATGAAACAGAATAAAGAGCCCAGAAACAAATCCATATCTTTATGGGCAATTATTTAACAAAGGAGACAAGAGCATACAATGGAGTAAAGACAGTCTTTTCAATAAATAGGATTGGGAGAACTGGACTGGTACATGCCAAAAAATGAAACTAGACCACTAACTTACACCATACACCAGAATAAACTCAAAATGGACAAAAGGCTTAAATACAAGTCATGATACCATAAAAATCCTAGAGGAAAACATAGGCAGCAACATTTCAGGTATCTCGTGTAGCAACATTTTCACTGATACATCCTCTGGGATGGGGAAATAAAGGGGAAAATAAACAAACAGGACTGTATCAAAATAAAAAGCTTCTGCACAGCTAAAGGAACCATCGTCAAAATGTAAAGGGAACCAAATGTATGGGAGAACATGTTTGCCAATGACACATTGAACAAGGGTTTATTCTCCAAAATATATTCCAAAATATATAAAAAACATATAACAACTCAACACCAGGAAGACAATCAATCCAATTAAAGAATGGGCAAAGGACCTGAACAGACACTTCTCCAAGGACATACAGAGGGCATAAGAAATGATGCTCAAAATCACTAGTCATCAGAGAGATGCAAATTAAAACCACTATGAGATATCACCTCACACCTGTCAAAATGGCTATCATTAATAAATTAATAAACAAGTGTTGGAGAAGTTTTGGAGAAAAGGGAACTCTAGTGCACTGTTTGCAGGAATGCAGGCTGATGCAGCCACTGTGGAAAACAGTATGGAATTTCCTCAAAAAACTAAAAATGGATCTGCCTCTTGACCCAGCAATTGCACTGCCAGGAATATACCCTAAGAATCCCAAAACACCAATTCAAAAGAATTTATGCACCCCACTATTTATAGCAGGGCTATTTACAATAGCCAAGATTTAGGAACAGCCTAAGTGCCCATCAGTAGGGTAGTGGATAAAAAAGCTGTGGTATATTTACACAATAGAATATTATACAGCAGTAAAAAGAAGGATTTCCTACCATTTGCAACAGCATGGATGGGCTTGGAGACTATTATACTAAGTGAAATAAGCCAGTTGGTGAACGACAAATACCATGTGATCTCACTTATAAGTGGAATGTAATGAGCAAAATAAACTAATGAGAAAAACAGAGCCAGAGGCATAGAATCAGGAACTGTCTGACAGCAGTAAGAGGGGAAGGAGGGAATAAAGACTGAATAAAAGAAGATGAAGGGATTAGTCAAAGAACATAAAAGAACCCATGGACATGGACAATGGGGTGGGGATGGACTATGGGTGGAGGGGGACAAAGGGGGAAAAGTGGGACAATTGAGATAGCATAAACAATAAAATACCTAAAAAATAAAAATAAATGGAAACTGTTGGTCTCCTTGACCCAAAATGAAAGGGCTGATATTTTAAGTTGATGATTTTATTATAAATTATTCCATCTTAACTTTTAAAATTTCATTGAATGCTTTTCTCATTAAATGTTCAAAAAATAAAAAATAGAAGTTAAACTTTTTTTACCAGTCTCAGTTCTGTGCCTGGCACAGGAGCTCTTGTTCTCTGTTGGCCCTATTACTACTGCTGTGTGCCACCTGCCATGTACAGGTTCATCCTTTCCTCCTTGCTAGACTGCGAGCATCTCTGAAGAAGGCTAGGACATGGCGCTTTCACATCTGCATCTTCAGGCCTCGGTCAAACACAGAAGTCAGGGGCTAGGGAACGGGGTGAGGGAGGAGCGGACTGCTCACAATCAGGGTGGAAAAAGACAGGTACATCAACAGGAAAGTTTAGTAGGGAGTCTGAGGAGGTCTTCCCAGCTATTTGAACTTGGCCCTGCCGGAGGGTGCTGGGGCTTTTAGTGGGAGTGGAAGTGTCCTGAGCTAGTCAGGGTGCAGGACTGCTGCCACCCACACTCTTATCCTCCCTGGGCCTCTGTCTCTACACCTGCAAAATGGTTCACAGCAGTATCTACTGTACAGAATGGAGATGAACCAAGGCAGTCTGCAGGAAGCCCTATGTGCAGTGTGAACCCCGGTGAGCAGTTAGCAAGTTCACTCCCAGAGCCAGGGCAGGTGGGGCTCAGGGCAGGCAGCCTATTGGAAAAGGCCCCTGAGCTCAGAGCAAGCCGATGAAGCAGCACTGACCAAGCATGACAGGTGGGGAGAAGTGTTTAAAGATGTTGGGATAAAGATGTCTTAAGCAGTTGGAGAGGAGGGGGATAAGGCAACCTCCAAGTTGCTTTGAGGCCCAGGTTACTCTGACCCACAGTCAGACACATCCTTCTCCTGACCCACCCATCATCTACTTCATGGCCTCCCTCACCTGGGTTGCTAAGACACAAACAACCCGTATGCCCCTCCCCTCACCCCAACCCCCACTCCCCACCCTGCACACATGTAAGCCTGTTCACCTGTGGACTGGACGGCTTCCCTGTGCCAGGGACCAGTTTGTTCTGACCTTCTATGCCAGTCCGGCCACAGCACCACTGTTAAAACAAAGGCTCAAATTCCAGCTCTGCCACACAGCTGCCAGGGCCCTGAAGTTGTACACATTCTCATATTGGTATTACAAACCACATGTATGTGACATATGCCTGAAAGTGGACTGGGACAGAGCCACATTTACGGGGACATCCACCGGTTGGACATGCACACGGGTCTGACAATTCAGCAGGCTGGGCATCTGACAATATTTTTAAACTAAATTAAGAAATGGGGCACAAGACCTACCAATGCTTGTCTGGGCCCCCAGGAAGGCAAGGGAAACTGCTGGGGCCATGTGATGAAGACAGAACTGACCAGGTAGAAACACAGTGGCCACACCCTGCTGCTGGGCTCTGCAAAGGAGGGAGCTTTGAAATTTAAAGTCATGAGGGCAAGAGACTAGGCCTCAATTCTCACCGAATAGAACATTGGAAAAGAGCACTTAATGGACAGGCTTCCAGGGAGAGTGAAAGGCAGACTGAAAGAATCTGCCCCCCCCCCCCCCCCCCCGCCGCCAACAAAGCTGGGCAACAGGAAGGTGGGTCTGACTTGGCCAGAACAGGAGGTGGGAGAGTGAATGGTAGACAACCAGAATCT